CTTATACAAAACAATGCATGCTGTCAGTGCTTAATAATTAACTAATAAATGTCACTACTGCCAACACTTCCTTAGTCTTACAGGGAAGAGATCTATAGTTTCTCAGCAGGTTTTTTGACATTAGAGTCCTTCAGTGTTTTATCTCCTCCTACTGGTGTGCGAGGAAAAGGTGGATGAACATAATACAACGTGACTGATTTAGCACGCATGAATGTAAGTAATGACTGCCTTGTTTTTGGTCTCAATGAAAAAGCTTAGGACCGTCAGGCACAGGATGCTTTCCTGTCTGAACAGGCGGCCTTATTTGCCAAACATTGAAAAGTGGTTAGATTAAAAAGTGAACTTGTAAAAGTGGCAACTCAAAGCTCATGTCAATTGTATCTTGAAAGGTTTTGCTTCAACTTCTCAGTTTACAAGGAAAAAAAGATCACATTTTGTTTGTTTGTTGGAGGGTTTGTTATTCTTGTTATTTTATAGCTTTCATCCTGCAAGGCAGTAAGCAAGCAAACTTCCACTTGAAGGAAGGAAGCGTCTTTGTAGCAGGACCCCATCTCAACACACAGGTACATAGTACACATCAATATACATGCATGATAGTATACTTTGGTTGATACAAATAATTGCCTTTTGACTGCGGTCTCAGCACTCATGCAAATAAGTGAGAAAAATGCAGATTGCATGCCGGCATGTACACAAGTAAAGTAGCTGCAGTTTGCTAAGAGAAAAGCATGAGCCAAAATCATAAGCATGCCGTTATTTAGCAAGGCTTGCCAGTAGACTAAATAGAATATGATGAGCCAGGTGCAGTGATTATGATACCACTGATGCCAATGGATTTACACCCATTTACAACAAGTCTGAATTTGGCTCTATACCTGCGTTGCACAGAGTCATTCATAAAGCCCAGTTTGTAAATACAGGCATATAACTTACTTCTGTCACTCTCTTATTTGCAAGGTCATGCCCTGGTTCAGCAAAGCTCCTTAAATGCACTCATTGCTTTAAGCAGATGACCAGTCTCCCTGAAGTCCAAGTTGCTCCTTATATGCTTGAGTGTCATGTTAAGCTGAAATCTAACCAAGAACCTACGATGCACTGTTTCAATTCCTGTTTGGCATGAGAAAATGGGGGGTTTGGGTGTAAAATTTAGCCTGGCTCTTTTAACCACAAAATCCACACAGGGGAAAAAACAGGGGACCCCACACAGCCCTAATCCATGCTTAGGAATCATCAACTATCTCTATCTTCCATTGATAAAACATTCAGGAACTTTCCACTGGTTATAAATGGAAAGGTTAGTTAAATAATCATTTCTTTCCTGCTGCCCACATATTTTTTAAAACAGTGAGATGGTTGCTTTTGCATCTGAAAAAATAATACATAGGAAGGATTTTTTGAAGACATGCAATGATTTAAAAAAGAAAAAGTAGAATCAATAAAAAGTTGAGCAACTTTAGTGTGTTCTTAAAAATACTAGAGAACTTGACCTTCTTTTACCTCTAAATCTTTCTTCTCTGTGAAAGCTGAGCATGGGAACAATGAATGAGCCAGCCAGGGCTGCTGAAAGATGGACCTGAGTTATGTCTCTCTCTCACAAAATATGAGTCCTCTCAGAAGTATGTCGTTCTGAGTACATTAATTATTAATAATGATATGTTCCATTTCCCCTTTTCCCCAGTTATGAAACCTTTTATTGCTGAAGATACTAGGGAAGATTCTTTTCCAATTTGTAATTACTGTACAGTGCATATCTATCCTTTTAGAAGTTGAACCTGGTAGCTATGGAGATGAAGAATGTTAAATCCAAGCTGCGGATAGTATTTTAGTAGGGGCTTACACGAATCTTCAACGATCAGGTGCTTTAATGTCTTTTTAGGTCTTCTGTACTAATAGCTGAGGTATACTAAATCATCATGGAAATACAGGGTTAACTTTCCAGCAGGTGCACATACAGTCTGTGGCCTCCATCTAGCAGATATTTATACATGGGCTTAACTTTACTCATATGAATAGACCCATTGAAGCAAATGCTTATTATTTAATACTTGCATTACAGTAGGGTCTGGAGACAACGATGCCCCACTCTGCTAGGTGCTGTACATGCAGTTAAGGAAAGGCAGGTCCCTGCCCCAACAATTTACAAATCAAATATCAACTGGCAGACAACTGGCTAGGAAACGGGAAATAATTATCAGCATGGAAAGTAGTGGTGACAGAACACCAGTTGGCAGCCATTTTCATGCATATGGGAGACACTAGGGAAGATGCAAGTTTTATGGAGAGATCTGAGAATGGGGCTGTTTGAGCAAATAAAATTAACTTGACCATATGTGTCTGCAAACTTGTGACCCTTGGCGATCATGTGGAGTCAGCCCTTTCAATTGTTGAAAGAAAAAAAAAAAGATTGTTCCCCTAATTCTACAGTCAGATTCCCAGCCTAGCTCCAACTGAGATCATATGGTGCTGGTGCATAAATAGTCTTTCTACCAAATTCATGTTTGCAATATGCCCGCAGTCGCAACGTTACTTCTCGGGGCCACTTACACCTGCAACATTCCTTAAGATCAAAACTATCACTCTGCCCACAAAACAAAAAAAAAAACAGGCTAACCTGGTAAACATTTCCCCACTTGGTTCTTACATGCCCTGACTTCCTAGCTAATCGTAGAACAGATGAAATCTCATTTTATCCAGAAATCTAAAGGGATAATAAATTCAACTCCTGCTTACAGAAATACAGTATAAACCTAAAATAACTCCACTAACTTTGGCAGAGTTACTTTAGGTTCAGAATGGTGCGAGAGAGCAGAATTCACCCTGAGGAGTCTAATACGGTAAATTCGAGTGCTTGTCCAAAGTTAAAACTACAGGACAGATCCATGAATCTGCACTTCTCCAATGCACCCATGACATTTATTTAGCACCTGAAGTGCTTACACATGTAATTTGCAGGAATTACAGGGCCCGATCTCAGGTCAGGTACACAGACATACTAATGCAGGTAATGGAACTGTGCTGGCTTGCAACTAGTAATTTAGCTAATAATATAGATCGCCCTGTCCCTCTTAAGAGTGTATCAGAATCCATTTAAAGAGGTGTCAATTTCTAATTAAATACATTTATATTAAATTTCCCTTATTGCGCTCTTTGCTACTTACGTCTGAACTTGTATCATTTGTGAGCATGCTAGTATTCAGCTAGCCTAGCCTTTTAAATCCACAATAAGGTTTGCACATTTGTTGTTAAAGGCCATATTGCACTTGCCATCTTTTATAACTAACATCAAGAAGTACAAATGGTCTTAAAACCTAACTTGAATGATCTTTCTTAGCAAGGCAATCAGTTGTAAACAGATGCTCAGATAATGTCTTCCCAGCAGATGACCTTTATGGCAGCGTCACCACGGCCTGACAGTCTCATTATCTTTAGTCTCAGATTAAGATCAATATTGGTCTGGAGAAAGTATGCAATATAACCCCCCTTTTTTACTACCCCATGGTAAAACACATACCTTTTTATTCAACTGCCATGATCACACACTAATTACAGATATTTTCAAACCATAAATAACTTCAGTCATATAGCATCTTCTGTGCATTAAGGCCGTGATCCAAAGCCTCTTAGTGGTCATTCCACTCAGTTAATGAATTTTGATTCATTCGTTAGGGATGTGATTCTCCTCTGAGTTCTGCTGGTGTAAATCAAAGGGAATCTCACTGAAGCTAATGGAGCTACACTGGATTAAAAAAAAGCGAAACCCAAGAGTGACAAGAGAAGGAGGACTTCGGGGTCGCACTGGTACCAGAGCAAACCCAAAGCAATTCCACTGAGTTGTTTTTTTCTGTACCACTGCTGACAGCTATACCATACCTTAATTCACACTACTTCTGGTGGCAATGACAAGGATGTGCAAGGTCACTTATGTTCAGCAGGGATATTGCTGTAAGCAAGTTAAACACAAAGCATAAACATCTACTTTTTATCAGGCTCCTTTGAGATAACATATTCCAAAAGTGCCTGGTGCTTTTGGGTGCCCAACTTCACATATCTGGAAGGGTCCTGATCTTCAGAAAGGTGCTCAAAAGATCAGGCCCTGGGAAAGGATCTGCAGTTGGTCACTGAAAATCAGTAGTTACGTTTAAACAATCTTCACCTTGCATTTTAGCATACCTGAATGTCAAAGACACTGTCCAAGTCCTAACCTGGTTTAAACCCAACCTGCTGAAATCGTTGAATGAGTATGTGAATGAGTCACAACAGACCACTAATGTTTCCCATTGGGATGCTTACAGTGATAAGAAGAGCCAAGTCTAACCTTGCTTTAATACCACAGCAGCATACGCTATGTTACATAAGCAGAAAGTCAGTTACCCGAAGGAGTCTTTGCTGGAACGGCAGAACAAAAACCCATCTTACCATGTCTAAATGGGCCGTGTTGATCTAAAGTACAACCCTTCTGATTTACTGATGTGCTAATTATTACAAAACTACAGCTTGCCATATACACACGCAGGTGTGCGTACACCCCCCCCCCCCCCAATCCACATTATGGTACTGTGTTCTATTGATAGACCAGGTCACACAGGTCACAATGACTGCCAGTTTTTTACTTACACTTACAGAGCCAAAAAGACACTTCGTGTAAGAGGATGTAACTCTGTTCATTGCAATAGAGCTATATCCCCTATGCCATTTCTTGGTCTCTCAGTTGAACCTTTACAGCAAAAAACACCAAACCAGGCATTTGCAAACGTTACTTTTGAGATAAATGGCATCATCTTCTTTAACCCCCTGTCAAATAGGTTGGAGAAGCCACCAGATGCAATATCGACCCTACTATAAAGATTTTATTTTCTCCCTAAGCACTCTACTCTGTGTTCCCCAGAACAGCAGGAGCCTTAATCACCTCCCAGTTACACCAGTGCACATCATTAGTGACGCCCTTAAAGCAACTGGTGTAAAATGGGTCCAGGCTAGAGGAAATTCAGGCTCCAGATGTGTTTAACATGGCTATTTATTCCAACTTAATCTCATCCTTGGATGAACCTCTTTCAAGTCTGCACTGTTGAAAATAACCACCGTCACTTCCCTGATTGTTGTAATTTAATTAAATAACCTTTCACACTGAGCAAACCCAAAAGCAAAAAGGCTCATTAATCTTTCTAGTGATTAGAGACACCTCAAGAGCTTCAAACATTTACCTCTCCTTCCCAGCTGCTGAAATGGTTTTAGGAGGATCAGGGTTCATACCTCACATTCCCTGGAGCCAGAGATAGTATATGTGCAGGGTCCAGATCCATTAACGGATACATCCATGGTCTCAGAGTTTGTTGGCTTGTAGTCCACATAATACTCCTGTAAAGGGGAGTTCATTTGCCTTTCAGACTCTCTGGCCTTTTTTCTGCGCCTCTTCATAAGAGAGTGTTGCTGGAGTTGTTTCATGCTGGCTGGGTAGCGCTTCCACGACACGTAGATAACCAACAAAATCATAGCCACTGAAAGAAAGAGGGCCACGCTCCCAGCAATGATTTTGTGAAAGGAAACATGCTCATACTCTGGTTCCACTCCAGGCGTCGGCAGGTCCGGAGAAGGACTTGGCATAACAGAGGTTGGCTGATTACTTTCCAGTTTAGAAATGGTAGGTTTGGGAATAAAAAGTGGCCTCTGGGGTGTTTTAGGTGCCTGGTATGATCTTTCAGTGACCACCACCTGGATTTCAGCACAGATATTATATGTTTCCACAGCATCGCTCACCTTCTCACCCTGGATGTGCTTAGGGCCTGCGCATATCATAGTGCTTTCTTTATTCCCCTTGAAATTCTTAAGCCAAGTAAACAGAGGGCAAATGTTTCGAGTACATTCCCACATATTTCCGGACAGAGTGATGGATGTTAGTGAGATCCATGTATTGATGGTCTCCTGAGAGATGTTGGTGAGTTTGTTGGAATCCAGGTTCAGTTTTTGCAGGTTGGGCAGGCACTGGAACGTCCCGGGCTCTATTCCCGTAATGTCGTTCCCCGATAAATCCAAGTTGTGCAAGGAACTCCAAGTCCATGTTAACCCCTGGCTAATAGACCGGATCCTATTCCACTGCAAATAAATGGACCGAAGGTTGAAGAGGCGTGGAAAGTGGGCAAAGTTGATCTTAGAAAACTGGTTGTGCTCTAGATGGAGCTCTGTTAACTTCAGGAGGCCAGCAAAAGCATTGCGGGATAAACTCCGCAGACGGTTGTAGCCCAAATCCAGAAAATCAAGGTTCCGGCAATCTTGAAAAACTCTGATTGGTACCGTTTTCAGTGAATTTGACCGCAAGTGCAAGATCAAGAGTTTGCGAAGGCCCTTAAACTGCTCCGACTGTAACACCTGCAGCTTGTTGTATGAAAGGTCCAGATTGCGGAGATTGGGCACTGGGTGAAATGTTTTGTTGTGCAGATGAGTAATTTTGTTGGAGCTCAGAATTAATTCCTTCAGCCTTCGGATCCCCTGAAATGCATCCTCATCAACAGAACTGATATAATTATGGTCAAGATAAAGCCAGATGAGCTGATTCAGGCCCGCAAACTGATTTGATTTAAGCTTCTGGATGCTGTTGTACCGTAATGATAAGCCTTGAGATCCTCCAGAAATATTCTGAGGGATATCTCTGAATGCATGAGATTCACAGTACACAATTTTGCCATCACATCTGCAGTTCTTGGGGCAAGCGCGCTGAGCCCCAGTGAGCATAACAAACAGCACCGTAGGAAGTAGCACTAACACCACACTCATGCCTCTCAGCTGCTTAATTAAATGGAAACCTACAATATTAAAAAGAAGACAAATGTGCATTGTAAAACTATTAAAATAAATCACCAGCAGATTACTTATATGTCAATGGGGTTTCTACCGAGGCATTAGAGGTCCAGTGGATTTGGAAGCAACCTGTTTGTCTCTTCCTGCATTGTTTGCTACATAAATGCCTGTTATCGGTTCACTTCCTAGCCTGCCTCTCACTCCCCACACACACACACTACCACCACCACTGTGGTTATTCAATTAGTTTTGTGTGATTTATGATCCCAAAGAAGGGCTGGGAGCCTGTCTGCTCTTCCCTTGTTCTCATGTACAACAGCATGCTATGTAGTGGGTATATCCTTAGCACTGGATGCTGAGGTTTTAACAATAAACATATTTGTCAAGTCACCGTTCTGTACTCACCACAGGGTTTGCTAGGAACTCAGCCCCAGCTTTCGGTAGTTCAACAAGAAGTAAAATATTTCTTAATAAACCCAGGTGCTTGTAAATCTTTTCCAGTCTGCACACCCCCCAAACGAGTATAAAAAGGAGCTACAGTGATCAGCAGATATGTAATAAAGTTTGACCTGCCTTTAAAACACGCCTTTATTCCGAAATGTAAAAAGTAGATGAAAACCTCACTAACCAGCATTTTTCATGTGGAAAAAAAATGCATGCGCTGTAAACACACATACACACATACAAACACTAGCATACATGTGTATCTATATTGTGCAGCTGATGTAGGGAACTCAGGATCACGAGGATGCCTTCGTTAATATACACATCTCACAATATAGTTTTTGAGATCATGTTATATATGCATCATATGCATGTAAACACATCTACTGATATTTAAATATCTATTATTTGGTTTGTGTTATTTTATGTACTGCATGTGCATACCTATAAGTGTGTGTGTGTGTATTTACACACTCATACATATATATAGAAATATGAGTACGTGTGCATATGTATGCGCACACACTTTTCTTTTTTTTTTTTTAAAAAGGTGCTTCCCCCGGGTGGACACAGATACCAGCAGGGATCAAAGACATAGTGAAACATTCCAGGCCTGCCCGCTATTTCATAATGAAATGTCAGTCAGCTGCACGTCGGAGCTTTTGTAGTAAAGATGAATCAAACTGGAATTAAAGTGCTCCATTAAGTAAGCTGAGGTTTGTTTGGAGGGAAAGGCAGAGGGAGCAGGGACAGAAAACACTGCCGACATCTCTTCAGACTCTTAAGTGGCTTCCTATCTTTTCAGTGCCTGTCTTCAAAAAAAATCCAAAGTGTTAACCCTGAATGACATGGGAGCTAGAGCTTGTAGGCGCGCAACGTTGCTGCGGCTCAGACATTTCAGGAACGTCTGGTGACGCTTGGAAGAACGCAGCAGCTCAACCTGCTGAGTTTGCACCCAGAAAAGCCTCGATACAACGGCCCAGGACAAAACTATGAAAAGACTCTTACGGACTTCGATGGGCTTTGCAGCGAGTCCAAAATGAGCGTCTGTCACCAGTGACACCCCTCGTTGAGACTGAAATCTGTGTTGGGTCTGATATCCCGCTAACAACCCCTTCATAAAAAGTAAGGATGATCAGGATCTGAATCAGGTCAACTCGTTTCCAACTTGCCAGGCAGCTCTGAGTCTCGGAGGACTCCTCCTGGGAAGCAGAGGCTGAGCTGTCCATATACCGCATGGGACTGCAGCTAACGGGCGAGACACTTGGGCTCAACCCTCATCGATTCATCTTCTGGGAAAGAGTCAAATTAAAACATGGTTAAAAATGGTTGCCTCTCCAATACGTGGGGTAAAAGTGGGATCAAGAACCAACTGAACAAAAAAAGATGACAATTCCCTACTAGCTGGGCAGAGACACCTGTTGATTTGGTGGGAGATTTCTTGAGCGTGAAATCCTACTAAACTGGGCCAGAGAGAGAGCAGTAAAAAAGAGAGAGGGGCAGGAAAAAAAAGGCAACAAAATGAATGCAAGGCAGAGATTATGGAAGGAGGTGGGAGAGAGAGAAGAAAGAGGGAGGACTCGAAAGTTTTCCCTCTGGAGTAAAGGATTAACTGATACTGCATTAAAATTGAGCCAAGCCGCATGTTGACTTCATGGGCTCCTCTGTTCAGATTTTAACCTTTGGAAAGATTTTTTTTTTTTTTTTAAAAGAAAGTTAACCAGGTCCCGGCAGGTCAGGAGGCCTGTGCTGTCAGGGTTCCCCTCCCTTCCTCTTTGCCCAAACTTCCTTGCCCTCCCACCCGCACTTCACTTCGTCTCACTCCTTTTAAAAGTGCCACAGACAACATGAAAGGGCAGCGCCAGTGAATTAAAGGTCACCTCTGTGCATTTCAGGAGGAACCAGTTCCTTTGTGAGGACCCCCACGGGATTACGTTTTCACATTCAGCTCCCTTTTTTTTTCTTCTTCCCTTGCCAAAAGAATCAAGCCCCTGGCTCCAGGCTCCCGACCTTCCTCCCACCCTGAACTGAGCCCCATTCATTAAGCTGGCTCGCTGCAGTGCAGGCCAGGCCAGGAAGAAAAACAGAAAACAGAGCAAGTGAAAGACAGGCTCAGATTGGTTAGTTCGAGGGGGAAACACTTGCAGAAGCTCGCACTGTATTACCCACATCGTTCCACGCCGGTCTCCTCTCGATGCTATCCCGGGACCTCTGCCATTCAGCAGTGAAATCGCCCTCAGCCTCATCAAGAGCAATATAATATTGGTAGCTGAACCTGAGGCTCTTAAAGAAAGGATCCAGCCTGGAGGAGGAATAGTAGTGTGCTGCTTCTTGTTTTAAGCCACTGCTTCCCTTTTTCTATCGCAACGTCTTTGCTCCTACGGGCCCTACCGCACTTCTCCTGTAGGACTAGGGATGCTAAGCCCAGCGTCCTGGCCCGCTTCCCAAATCCCCATACACGGCCATCACGCTCTGCCGGACCGTCTCCAACCCTTCTAGCCGCCACTGACACGCCACCGTCGCCCCCTGCCCAAACAGCAGCACGCAGTGCCGAACACCTAACGGTGGCTGTTGGTGGCCAAAGAGATTCCTCGAGGGAAGGCGGCACGTAGAAGATCTTTACAGGGAGCTCCAGGTACAGTCATGATCCACCTGATCCCAGCGCTGCCCCGCACTTGCCATCCGCTCAGCTTTCAGATCTCCGGCAACCTGGGGCTCGTTCAGCCCCGTGGTACGAAAGCATTGAGCCAGAGTCCATACAACTCACTGGCCCTAAAGGAAGACGAGAGGCTGCACTCTGCATGGCACCGGCGAACCACTGCCTGTTCAAACTCAGAGGAGACGGGGCTTTTCCCAAGGACGCCAAGCGCCCCCTCGAACAGCTCATGAAAGCCCCAGTCAATACCTCGTTGTACTACCCGAAGGATGTAAAAAAAAAAAAAAGAGAAAGTCGGCTTCAGAGAACTGCTGCAAACCCCATTTCTTTGCCCGGGTCTCTCCGGTTGGGATTTGCAGAGCCGCACTCCCGTGCGCGGAGAGGAGCTGCCAGTAAATCAGACCAAATTCAAAACAAATGCTCTTTCATGTGGAGGCATTCAGCTTTGTTTCAGGGCTTGTGTAGCTAACCGTATCCCTTCATGAGTCAACACTCCTATCAGCTCCTCATTAAACTAAATGGCTACAATTACATTGGGGAGGAAAAAGGGTGGTTAATGATCGTAAACGGTTCCCCCTGTTTGAAGGGGTTTGGAAAACCTTTGATAAGCAAGACAACCCCCCCCCCCCCCCCCCCC